AGGTACGCATTACTGCTGGGTGGGCAGGAAGGGGCGAAAAATATTCCTTATCCGAACCGAGGCTCGAACCCGGACTTTCTGCTTCGGAGACGAGCGCACTAACCTCTCCGCCACCGCACCCTCTTCATACATAATATCATACATGTACATAGATATTTATTTTCTTCAGTCGTCTTCAGAGCAGAGACTACATCAACGGCCCAACAATGCGAGTTGTGGAATTTCTACCCCTTCTGGCTCTAATCCTCTCCCTGTTTGAGTCTGAGGCTCGAACATGGACTTTCTGCTTCGGAGACGAGCGCACTAACGGCTCCGCCACCGCACCCTCTTCATAAATAATATCATACAAGTACATAAATACATGTATTTATTTTCTTCTGTTGTTTTCAGAGCAGAGACTACATCAGCAGTCCGACAATGCGAGTCGTGGTGATTCTAACCCTTCTGGCTCTAATCCTCTCCCTGTTTGAGTCTGAGGCTCAAATTATGTCTCTTGAACCCACGAATCCTCAAATGAACAGGGTGGCCTGGTATGTCAAGCGCCATATGGACGCCGTCACGGACCTGAAAAAGAAATACTACTAGTGAGTGGAAACAAATCGCTACCCTAGAATTACAAAGTTCTATATGACATTTAAAAAAAGCCGTTTTGAGTTACAAATATCGTGAGGTAAGCAACACATTGCTCTATCTGCTTTAACGGGGTGCCCACTACAGCTGGATCGGGCCCATCGCCCGACTGGATCGCCTGAAACTGAAAACAAAAACGTTTGTTTTTGAGGCGACCGAGTCAGTGGGCACCCCGTATTTAAAAATAAACGTGTTTGTTTTCAGTTTCAGGTGATCGAGTTGGGCGATCGCCCGATCCAGCCGTAGTGGGCACCCCGTATAAGATTATTCCGAGTCGTTACCAAGATATTCATAGAATTGTATTCGAAAAAGCTTGAAATACCGTGAGACTCAACAATTTTTTTACGTCAAATGTCTCCAAACTAGGTAATGACCAAATATATAAAGGACTTTGTAGTTTCTTTAATTAAACTGGTAGCGAAATGTCTACCACGTAATTACAAAGTTCTATCCGCTCAGAGTCTAGTTTTGAGAAAATGATAAAGGTTTTATGTCCCTATCAACATTATTAGGTTATTTAAATAGGTGAGCCTTCCGAGTTTAACGTCCATCTCCAAAAGGAGCGAGCCAACTCGCAACCCCCAAAAATTATAAAGTTCTATCTGCTCCGTACATAGTTATGAGAATTTTGCCGTAAAAGATTCTGAGTTTCACAACACGTCAAACTTTTTCATATGCAATTCTTTGAATATCTTGACAATGACTCCGAATATTCTTACGCTTTTGATAGAGCAGATAGAGCATTTGGTTTCTGACCTCATGGTCTTAGTAACTCAAAACGGCCAAAATAATATGTCAGAAGGAACTTTGTAATTCAAAGGTTGCAAAATGTCTAGATTAGTTTTAAAAAGACTTTTTTTAAAATAGAAAAAAAGACTCTCTTGTCTTGCAACACAAGTAGGTCGCTATAAGAGCTACAGATTAGAGGTATTGCTGAGCGTAACTTACAAAGAAAAGTAGGTGATATGAGGACGGTAGGCGCTTGATAGAAAAAAACAAACAACACCAACCACACCAGAGCACCTGCCAACCCCACCAAAGTTGGATACTGCTGCTTTTTCTGTGCTCACCCTTACTATGGTAACTTTTCCTCTACTACTTCTTTTGTATGTTTGTCACTCTCTTGCGAACTGCTATTTCCGAGGTGCTTTGATAGTCGAAGCAGACTTTGTCCTGTTGAGGCAAGAGAGAGGTGAGCAGAGTAAGCCCGATTCCCCGTTTGGACTTCTCTGTTGACATCCACCCCTGGGCGCTCATATGACATAATGCAGTTGCGAGTGTCGTAAAACCTTACTAAAAGAAACACGCAAATTTGGATACTGCCCTAAGCCCTATGTAGTGTAAGGTGGCGATATCACTACTCAATACCAACCTGTGCTCATATTGGTGTCCCGCCACATTTTTTGGGGGGTTGTTGTTGTTGGTTGTTTAAAATTTTTTTTTTTAGCATTCGTCGTTTTGTGATTGCACGTGTTATGACGCCGATGGGCTAAACAGTCCCCCCCCCAAAAAAAACAACAACAACAACACAAAAAAACCACCAACAAACAAACAAACAAACAAACAAAAAAACAAACAAACAAAATTCCTACAGTCTCAAAAGCACAAAAACACAACCGCCAACAACAAAATCCCCTAAACCAAACCCAAAACAAACAAACAAATAAACAAACAGAACAAAAAAGTTAAAAAAACAAAAACAAAAAAAACTGCCCCCCCTCCCCCCAACCCCCCACCAAAACAAAACAACCCTTAGCAAAAAAAGGAAAAACAAACAAACAAACACACAAACTAACAACAAACAAACAAACAACACCGCTATAAAG